ATTTCTGGCAGTGTCCACTTTGAAGGGTGCGATGAACTTTGGAATTCAGATTCTCCCGACTGCCCGGAATTGCTCGATAAAAGGGAAGGAGCTGGGGCCTGCGCAACACGCGCTGCGTGCGCTCTGACATTGTCAACTCATCCATTTACGCATAAACATTACATTACAAGTAAATTCATTATATAATTATGAGTAATACATACAAAATGGCTAATGGTGCACATTTTACCGATCCCAAATCGCATAACATCGTTCTCTGTGTCCCGTCGTCTGTTGCGCAGTGATCACCCCACGTGTACGCCCCAGCTGTGATGTAACGACAGCTCCCTGGAATGGGCCCTCATGGACTGGCCAACAGCCAGGGAACCGAACAAGGCGCCGGGAAAGCGTACACCTGGGAACCAGACGTGGCCGGGGCAGACGAGGGAGTGCTGGGCGGCTGGCGATCGGCCAGCCTGTGTGCGAAGTTACAGGGGAGGGCTCCAGGGGGTGGGACTGCACGATCAGCGCCAGAAACACTCCGAACGCTAGCCGGTTGAGAGGGAGGTCGGCGTCCGGCCGGTAGTCCATTTCTAAATGTCAGTTCCTGAACCGGTGAAAACCAGTATAACCCGGCTAGCGCCTGAAGTCAGTTGGGCAAGCGTGTGGATGTTTTTCGAGCCCCGTCGACTCACCTCTGTTATCCTCTGTGAGCGGCGCCAACTCTCAGTGGGCTGACGATGACCCCGTGACCTCAGAAGAGTCGGTGCGCCATCCGGTCAGATCGCCCACAGCCGGCGGTCGCTGCAGACGCGTATGGAAGATCGCGCCCGTCGTCTCAAGCGCGTGCTGCTCTGGGGGTGTCTGGGATACTTTCCTGGCCGACCCGTTCGAGAGAGAAGAGTCTCCCCGCCGCGACCGGAGCCACCGCTTCTGCCGTTCGGGCTTGCGAGCCCTGCGGCCGCGCAGGTCAGCGCGCAGCGACCGGGCGCAGCACATCGACCGGGTGAGTCCACTTCGGGGCCGGGGGAGGTAGTGTGGGGAGGGAGCTGTGTGTGAGCTATGTTTTGTCAGAGGTCAACTGTCATTGCCCATGGTGTGTCAAAAGTGGAAATAGCCGCCCGGCTTTGGTTCGCCAGCCTTGTCAATAGATGGCAGTACCACAATATGGGCAGCGGATCGTGCAATTGACTTCAAATTTTCGTCATCTGCTAAGAATTGAATGGCGGATCTTTTCATGCAAGAATCAAGTAAATCGGTCCACAACTTTTCTAGCAACAGAGATATGAAGTCAAACACCCTGCCAGAGCGGCGGCGCGGCGGCCGGCGGCAGCCGTTACGCGCCGCCTGGGAGACTGGCGGCGCTGAACGGTTCCGAATTAGCACTGCACTAAAACCTGTTAACTGCTTGGAATAGTTATTACAGCAAAATTTTCATTCAAGTGAGGAATAAGCAAGGGCAGGAAGTATGTATGCTTGTGTGCGTACTATGTAAGCCAAGAAACTGCATTAACAGATACTCGCTAATATTAGATCCAGCCAAGTCTAAACGCATTCCAGGTGATGTGTTTCTGATGGGTCAACAATATTTATCGTTCGAGGGCGGATACAGTTTTAACAATACAAAAAATATTTTTGCACAGCTCTATTCCTTGAATAATTCTCTTCAACGCCTCATTCCTAGTTAACCCGCGCCCCGTTGGGGGGGGGGGGCCGAAACGGCCCCCCCTGTCCTTTTCGGTCGATATCTCCTAAACCGCTTCAGATATCGCCACTAAACTTTCAGGACCCCTCCGGGCATCAATTTTACACATTGTGACCAAAAATTTTTTCCAGAGGCTATGATAGGTTGGCCACAAATGACGTCAGAATGACGTCATGTTCTGTCATTTTCGACCGAAAAAAGACCTTCGCGAGAAGACCTGTCAGGCCTACAGCTTTGAAGATACAGAAAAATGATCACGACATAAAAGATGTAGAATTGACAGGACTACAAAACTGCTATCTCGGATTTTTGAAATTTTTGAGTTTTGAACCCCAAAAATCAAAAAAACATTTTTTTGGATATATTAGCCAAAAAATCCAAAAAGTTTTTTGAGTTTCAAAAAAACGGAATATATGTGATAGTACCTACCGTCTTCTATCTACATACCGAATGTCAGATCGATACCTCGTTTTTTGGCCAAGTTATAGCGAAAAAACTGTTCAAAATTGATGACGTCAAATTTTCAAACTCAATTTTTGGCAGTTCTAGACCTCGTAGAGCAAAACAAAGACCACCATTAGACTCCCCGTGACGAGCTGCATCGAATCGATACCCATTTTATGCAAAAATATCAACTCTGAAATTTGACCTTATTTGACCTGACCTTGACCTGACCTTCACCAAAACGTGACCTAGGCTGGCCCCAAAGGCTGCCTAACCCACATAATCGCATTTGTCATGTAAAATGGACCATAAAACATGTATCACACGACACTTTCATATTGTGACCCCGGTGACCTGACCTCGCTGTGACCTGACCTGGTATCAGTGACCTCAGATAGCAAAGTATGTGTTTGACGAACAATGCACCATCGATGGTTTTCAATAAATTACCAATTAACTCGATTTCACAACACATTTTTGAAATACCTGTGAACGGTGAAAATCTGACCTTTGACCTGACCTGTGACGTCATCGGTTTGACCTAGGTCAATGAAATTTGGTCACAAGGTAGTTCCCGGGTGGGGCTATCGAACGCCGTTTGAATTTTGAAAATCGGCCGGTAACTTTCCGAGATCTTAGGGGGGGGGGCCGAAACGGCCCCCCCCCCCTACGGGTGGTAGGGTCCGCCGGTAGCCCTACGGGGCGCGGGTTAAGCGAATTAGCCTACCCTGGTTGAATAAATAAGGCGATTTCGCCACAAGGTCGGGAAAAACCGACCGAAAACGGCCGCGCTCAACGTTAATTTGGGCATGCAGACTCTTAAAAACTCGCATTGGGCGGGTAGGGTTTCCCAGGTATTGGCTCCAAAACACCGTATTCGGCTCCCGAATACGTCCAAGTGACCCGCCTCGTTCCTAGTTAAGCTCTAATTAGATCAAGTGACTCATAGGGAGCGAAAAAGCGACAAAAAGCATGAATTTCCCTATGGCGGCGGGCTGTCGGGTTGCCAGACGGCGCACCGGCTATTTCCACTTTTGACACACCATGCGTATGTATATCGTTCTGTTCCAGTCGCACTTCCTAACACCTCTAAACTCCTCCAAGAGCAAGATAGAGGGGGTTGGAGCAGGGCCCTCCTTGGCTTTGTAGGGGCTGGAGCTGCGACTGAAACAGGGAAGCAATCTTGGAGGAGTTTAGAGGTGTTAGGAAGTGCGGCTGGAACAGACCCTTTGTGATAAGAAACAATGTGGCAGACATGCGGGATCTGTGTGGTGGAGAGGAGGGGCAGGGTTTGACTGCCACGGATCTGTTATTGGGAAGGAAGTGCAATAATTGCATTGGAACACATTTTGGAAGGTTTACAGATAAATTCAGCCGTGCTGTTTTTACTTTTAATTCTTATCTACATCAGTCCTTTAGATCACTGCTATTTCCTCTAAAATTTCAGCATGGAATAAAACTCCATTTTAGGAACTGAGGAAGAAAAATACTTCCGAAATTCAGTTACAACTTACATGGGAGTTGCGCGAAAAGATGCACCGATTAGGTACAGATAATTATGATTTTTAGGGTGTAATGAACCGCTGATATGTAAATCGCAAACACATTAGCTAGGTCATGTGTATTGATTCCGGTTTTTGTTACAAATTATCGACCAATTTCAGGCAACGTGTCGCGTAAAACGCCAATGAACTCAGAATAATATGTCAAATGAAATGGCTGAATCATCCTTTGTCAAACTGCTCGACCTGACCGGCGTTTTGACATGACACGACCTGAAGTCAGCACTAATTGTCCTGATTATTTAGGGACATATTTGTGTTATGTTATCGGTGGAGCCAACAAATAACTAAATGCACTTACTTTTGTTGACTTACTTTTAGTTACTTACTTTTAGTTATTTGTTGTTACTTTTACTTTTGTTACACTTACTTTTAGTTATTTGTTGGCTCCACCGATAACCTCATAACACTAATTGTCCTGTCTAACCACAAACTTCTGCGTAGTGACTGTCGCAAGTCTGTTGAGCGGTAACCAAATTCCTTTCGAAGTCAATTATTGGAAACCTGACTAAAACGTGTTTGAGTAGTTAACCTGAACTCGAACGTCGTTGTTCGACCTAAAATCTTAATTCGGGAGTAATCTGCTCCGTTTTGTTAGGGTCTAATTCGCTCAATTTTTGCAAAGCTCTACCGTAAGTAATTGCGAAAAAGCAAATGGGTTGTACCTCGACCCTGGAACTACTCATTAGTCCGGTGAGGGTTAAATGACTTAAAAAAGATTATCCATGCCATCAACAAAAACCTCAAAATTTCATCCACTGAACAACCACGTTCTTCAGATGTCATTGTGTAGGAGGAGTTGGCAAAATGTTCTTGTTTCGTTTTCTAGTGTCATTTTTAGCGCAGGGGACTGAGAGCTCTCGGGCTACTCGCCAGATACAGTCAAACTAGACAAAACTCCCGTTGATGATAAGATCAAGCCATCAACAAAACGCCAGTCCACTGATCCAGCAGCCACTTTGGAAATGAAGCCGGTGCTTTTGTTTTGTGTCCATGCATTTACTGGAATTTTATTTTGTTTGCTTGGTTTTACTTTTATTGCTTATTGTCTTGCAATCATCAGCTTCATAAAACAGCATACAGATTTTGAAAAAATATTTTCTACTATCCCCATGTGAACCGCAATTTCGGCCATTAGCCATACCCGAACCCCTCCCTCCCTCTCCCACAGCGACCACGTGTCGGCACCTGTGGGGGCGGGGTGTGGGGGTGGGGGGCGAAATGGGGAGGGTTTGTCCCATCCACCTGGGCTACCACAGGTGGTACGACAAAGCCGGTGGCTGGCCGCACCCCGCCGCACGAACCGCAGCAGTGGAGAGTGTAAGGTGGGGAACGGATAACGTGAGGCTGTAGGTATAGGTCCAAAGAAAGTCAGCGATAGGACGGAGGTTCATGACGGCAACCAGTGCACTGGGAGATACGGGCCAGCCTACGTTAGTGTGAACTAAGTGTAAAGAAGGAGCTCAAGTATGAAAAGGAACTGAGCTGGGAAAAAGAAAAAGGAGTGTAAAAAGAAAGCAAGAAGCTCGCCAAGAATCAAGAAGTAGCAAAATACGAAATAACGGTCAGTGATTGGAAAAGCCCGATGTGACGAATGAGCAAATGACAAGTAAGAAGATACAATGAAATAAGATAAGAAATAAGACCAGCGTAATTAATATGACCAACAAGACATGAATTTATGGCTTTAGGTGAACTATTATTTTGGGGAAACGTTTACGGAAGAAGCCTACGGAAAGCTTTGAATAAAACTCCTAACTTTCAAATTCTCGTGGCTAATTCGTATACTGTTATTTAGCTTGCGCAGCATCGGATCGTGCTCACCATCAAGCACAACAAAGAGTGCAGCAAGACTGCAGCCTCCAGGACCTATTGCATTGCAGCATATTACGACGCACGTGTTTTACACAAAGATAAGCGGTTTCAGCCAGCCACGTGCGCAACACGTTCTTCTGACTCACAGTTGGCAGCTTCTCCGAACTCAGTGAAGGTGAGCCCCGTCAAACGCACCGCGCTGGCTGATCTCCAAAATCAGCCAATACCGCCTCCGCCAATCGTTATCCTGTGACCGATGGATTGGTAGATGAAAAGAAAACCGATCGGTTCGTTGTTAGTGATGGCATTCGCTGTTCAGTGTGATGTTTGTCCATGTGTTGTGTGACTATGTTCATGTTGATTTTACGAGCATCAGGCGTTAGTCATTGTGAAGATATTTGCACGATTACGTGTGTGCTTCTCAGTTTACTGATGACTGTATCAAGAAACAACAGATTATGTATTTATAAATAAACGTGTTTTACATAATCATCCTGTGACGAAAAGCCCGTTAGCTTTATGTAACGTCTCCGTATCAAATTGGCTTTGACTTTTGAGTTATCTCGACTGAGCTGGTCTGTGCTGACTCCGGTTTGACCTGGGCTGATCTGCATTGACCTGCGTCGATCTGAAGTCTGAACTGATCTCAGTTTGCTCTGACCCGACCTGAAATAATCCTAGCGTGACCTGAGTTGACCTGAACTGACCTGCGTTGACCTGTGTCCAGCTACGTCGACCTTGACTGACTTCAGTTGACCCAAACGTGACCTGAGTTGACCTGCGCTGACCTCAGACTCCCCGCTCTCTTCTCAGGCACGATGCAAGGTCTGCTATCTCCTCTTGCCTTCCACACCAATCTCTTCTCTGCGCGCGCCAAGCCCTGCGGTGACGGCCTGGTCTTCCGCTTACACTACCGCGTCACGTTCGCCCTACTGATGGCCTGCTGCCTGCTGGTGACGGCCACCCAGTATATCGGAGCACCCATCTCCTGCCTGAGTGACGACTCTCTGCCGCAGAACGTCATCAACACGTACTGCTACATCGCCAGCACGTTCACCCTGCCGTCTTCCACCGCGCTGCGGGTGGGTGTTCGTTCTTTGGGTGAAGTTGGGGAATGATGGAGTCTTCTTTGGGTGTTCGTTGAGTGTTCATGGTTTTTTCGGGTATTCTCTCCGGAGTTGATGGTTTCGAGAGGTTGATGGTTTAATTTCGTAAAAGGATGGGATTTAAGAATGTAATTTTAGTATGCCATAAAAGACATTATTATTTTTGTTTTGATCTTGCATTGTGGTTTTGAGAAAAATATTTTTTTTCTCGGGTAAATGTTACTGCTTAAATGATTGTAGACAATGCAACACCACTCTATACCGTGCTTCATTCGGCCTTTTTATCATCATTATGAATGTGCCAAGGATACGTTTGTCACCACAGCTGCATTTGTATTGACTCGTCACCATTTTGAGTCACCATTTGACAACCGCACCCCGAATTAGCATCCTCGTTATCACGATGTCAAATTGTCTATTTACATACTTTTTCAGTATCGCAGGATAGGATGCAACTTGTTCGTGCTGCTATCTTTTCCTCCTTAAAGTTTTTCTTTTGGCATCGTTCCTGTGCTTCTACTTTCGATGCCCTAATCAGCTTTCCACGTGGTCAATTTTTTGATAGGCATCTACTTCGATTTTACTGTTTTCATTTTCACCTCTTTTATCTCCACAAGCGCAATCGTACTTCTTCGCGGATGTCTCATTTCTTCGCCGTCATCTGTTCACGGCCGCAATCTTTTTCCTTTCACCGCCATCTTGTTTCTCTGACGCCATTTTGTTTTCCCTCATTCCAGCACGGCTGGAAGGCCGCGCAGCGGCGCCGTGTGGTGCCGGGCAGTGGACCCGAGGAGCGGCGCTACCACAACTACTACATGTGGGTGCCCTACATGCTGTTCCTGCAGTCAGTCTCCTTCTACCTGCCGCACTGGATCTGGAAGGTGGCGCAAACGGACAAAGTGCGCGGAATACTGCAGGTGAGAAAGGGTAAATTGTGAGAAAAGTGGTATGGCTCCTGTATTCAAAAATGGATAGAACTAGGGAGGAATTTAGAAAACCAACGGCTAACCAGGGGCGGATCTAGGATTTCGATAGGGTGGGGGCAGTCAAGCACAGGGGCGGCACATTTTCCGCCTACGGGGGCGGCATTCATAGGGTCTGTTCTATAGTCCAGCGGAAAAAACGAGCTCGACGGCCGTCACGAGACGCAGCGATTGGTATTCAAATTTAGGGTCTCAGGTCAACTGGTGACCTCTGGTCAGGTAACTTACCCTAAAGTCGGGTTTTTGTTTTTGGCAAATAATTTTGCAAACAAATGGCCACAGAGCAAAATTTAGGCATAATCGTATTCCTCTCAAGCTGCGTCGAATGTTGTGGGTACTTTTTGTTCGGTAAAGGTCACAATCAAGATTGACACAAAGGTCGTGAGGTCAAGCCCCTTCAGGACACTGTTCGGACTAGGTCAGGTTGCATATCAATCGATTTGGAAGCTCATTGCAATCACAATGGTGCCTTTCCCGACTCTAGCTTAATTTGGTCGAAAGTTATTAACGAAAAACGATTATGACCCAAAAGAACGTCCTCTGTGACGTTCTCTGTGACATCATAAAAGTAAAAAATGCCAAAATAAGGCACGGAATCCTTTGACGAGCGTATGAAAACACATTTCTATGCGTCTCCGGGCGGATTCTACATATAATACCTATAGGTTGCAAAAAGAGCAAGTTAAGTATTTCCCCCATAGGTTTATAATGGGGGAGGTCACGTGACTGACCTGACCCAAGATGAATTGTACGAAAAAACCAAGATATACGAAGTATGAGTACCCGGGAGCTTGTTACTTTATGAAAATGTCATCATCCTCGCCGACACTTAACCTGGCGTTGGCGGCGTTGCAAAGTTGCGACATTTTTTGACAGTGCAGAGTGCAGACTGCAGATGTTTACTTATAACCTTTAGAGGTTTATGCATCGGTCGGTGACCTGACCATAGGTGGAGAATTGTGCTGAACTGTGGGTGCACGAGCTCTCCCAATTCCACGCCGGCTTGGCTTTGAAGCCGCAACAGACTGTGGAGGTCAATGTCACCGCTAGGGCGGCGGCGGATTTGCTGCGCCCGAGCACCCACCGTTCGGCACAATTATCCACCTATGGACCTGAACTAACCTGAAAATGAATCAGGTGTCATAAGGTCTGGTTTGGATGGGGCTCACGTAGGCCAAGTTTCATCTCTCTATCGAAAACGGCTCCGGAGCAGTCACGAAAAAAACTCGTAAGGGGTGCCCCCCTCCTCCCTCGGCCCGCGAGGGTTAAGAAGGGGTTAATTTGGCTTCAGGGACGTCGCTACGAGTTCAGAGGCAGCTACTTTCATTTCAGAGGGCGGCACTGTATCTCAGGGTCTTGGCTAATGAATTTCGACTAGGGGGCAAACCAGACCTCAGAAGCCAGAATGACACCACGTAACATACTCATTACTCGTACATATACCGTATACACTGCATGTAACATGCACAGGCTAGGATACAAAATTTCTGCCCAAACATAAGTATTTATACACCTACTTCTACCGAGGGGTTAAGAGGCCAGCTTAAGGCGCTCGAAGGCCCAGGACGAGCCCTCGGAGGCTAGCATGGGGCACTCAGAGGCCGCTTTGGGGACCCTAAAAGGCCAAATGTGGGGGGGGGGGGCGTGTGGGGTTAAAAAGCCCGCACGTAGGCCTTGTAAGACCAACGGGGTAGGGCCTTCTGAGGCCATATAGGGCCCTATGATGACAATTTGGGCCCTCTTGGGCCAGTGTCGGCCTGGTGCCCTCTTTGGTCGGTGTGGGGGCCCTCTGTGGACAGCGTTGGACACTCTGAGGCCAGCGTGGGGCCCTCTGTCTTCTGAAAGCTGAGATTGGTGCTGACTGCTGAGTCCTCACTCTCAGAAGCCAGCGCGGGGTCTTCATAGACTGGCGCTGGGCCATCAGAGGCCACATTGAAGGCCTCGACAGCCAGAATTCAGCACTTATGCATGATTGGGCCTTAGAGGTCGGACTGAGGCCCCGCAGGGCGACATGGCGCCATCAGAGGAATTCATAGCCCGAGTTGGACCCTCCTAAAGCGTAGGGTATCAGCCCTCAACCAGCGCAAGACTCTAGGCAGATCGATATCTGTTCTTTGAGACTGACGTGGGGCTCTCGGGGACCATCTTGAGCCCTCAAGGATCTAAGACCGGAGATAGGATCTACAGGGGCCGATGTGGAGCCTCCGAAGCCTGTGCAGACTGCAGGGTCCTCAGAGGTCGACGACATGGAGCTCTTAGAGACCGAACTATGACCAGCGTGACCTCTCAGTGACCAGCATGGCCTCTACCGGTCTGTGCAGGAGCCTGTAGAAGTCACTAGAAAGGTCACCAAAGGCACCAAAAAATTCAACAATGGCTTTAAAAGAAGACAGAGTAGGGTGATGAAAGAGTGTATTATGTAATGCCTTCAGCCCAACAACACAGATCAGTTTACGTACAGCATGACCTTTTTCGGTTGGAGCATGTAACTGACTATAGGTCATAGGACTATAGGTCCTACTATAGATAATTTAACGCCTCTCGATACGAGAGACACAGTTACGGTAAAAACTGTGCCTACCATACGTGGAGTGAGTAGATATACGTAAAGAAATGAACAAATGCTTCTGCAAGATCCGTCTATTTTGGCAGTTTTTGCTCTCGGTGTGGGCCAAATTGTTGAACTGAGCTCGAATCTAAGGACAACACAGGGAGAGTTTCCAAGGATCTATCAAATGCATTGTTCCGTGACGCTGTAACACTTACGGTTCACGAGCTATGCGCCCGGATGCGAGGGGAAAATTGGCAAAGTTGGCTAGGAACCGCACCCGGGCTCGGGTAAAGAAGGTTACCACTGGGGCCCCTAAAGTTAAGATAGGACCCCTTCTTAATTCCCATGTTTGGCCTCCTCCCCTTTCCAACATATTAATACGCCACTTGATGACCTGCCCTACTATATTAGACGAATGGTTATTGACCGTGTAAACATTGGCGCCAAAATGAGAAAGTGAAACAGCAAATTTGTCTGACACCGGGTTATACAACTAATTTTATGCTGGATAATATTTGAAGCGCCTTATTTACTCCGACTGGGTGGGAAAAATCTCGTCACTTCGGGACAACCGGAGGGCGGCACTATGACTTCAGAGGCGGCACTATAACTTCAGAGGCGGCACTATGACTTCAGAGGGCGGCACTATGACTTCAGAGGGCGGCACTATGACTTCAGAGGGCGGCGTTATGACTTCAGAGGGCGGCGCAATGACTTCAAGGACCTTCACGAAGACTGGAGGGCGGCGCTATGACTTCAGAGGGCGGCACAATGACTTCAGAGGGCGGCGCTATGACTTCAGAGGGCGTCGCAATGACTTCAAAGAGCTTCACGAAGACTGCGGAGGGCGGCACTATGACTTCAGAGGGCGGCACTACGAGTACAGAGGGCGGCACTGCGACTTCCGAGAGCGGCACTACTACTTCAAAGGGTAGCAATTTAAAGCAGCGGTACTTCGAATTAAGGGGCGACACTCTGACTTCAGGAAGAGAAGCGACATACTCTGAGGGTTAAATATAAATTCAGATAGATACTATCAGAGATTATTATGAAATGAACTTCAAAGCAATGGTCATTTCCGTAAAATGCACTTCATCACGTATCGAAAAAAGCCGCCCTCCGCCGCCGAAGGCGGCGGAGGGGCGGCATTTTTCGATAGGCTAGGGGCATCGGCCCCCAGTTGCCCCCCCCCGGATCCGCCCCTGCGGCTAACGTTTGCTTCGAATTAAAGTGCGAGACATACATTTATCGCAATAACTCGTATGTGAGTAATTACTACAATATAACTAGCTTTAAATAATGCATTTTTGAGAAAAAAAAACAAAGATTCCTTCCTAGAACATCAAAGATTCCAAGCCCCAATAGGTATTTACCTATGCTTTTAGTGGATTATAATTTATTAGATAATACATATCGCCATCTGCTATTGGATTGTTCCTAAAGATAGGTATTTACCTACTTGCAAGTACGGACGAACGCCTGCCTCTTTCAATAACTACAACGCCACATTGTCTTTCACAGGGGCTCAACTACGTAGTAGTTGACGACGAACAACGTCGTATGAAGGAGGCCCTCATGGTCAACTACCTGGTCTTCCACTGGGGCTCCCACACAGCCTGGGCCTTCAAGTACGTGCTGTGCGAGACTCTGAACCTGCTAAACACGGTGCTTCAGCTGGTGGTGACCGACTCGTTCCTCGGAGGACAGTTCCTCGGTTACGGACCACGGGTTGTTCAGTACCTGCGGCACGGCGCCGAGGAGGATGCCGACCCGATGAATCAGGTAACCATGGCAACCAGTGAATGGAATGGTGTTTGTTCTCAGTCCAACTAAATGTCGGGTCAAAGGACTCGTAACCTAATGCCAAAGCTTTGGAGAGACTGAGAAATGCGATGCCAAAACCAGAACACGAAAGGATCACATCAAAACTTGGTGAACGGATCGTTAGTCACCGCTATAATGTCAGTAGCATTATCAAGACATTATAACCGTAGTGTCCAATGGCTAGTTTTTATTTGCAGATTGTGCAGTGAACGATAGGCAGTGCGTTCACTTCAAAAATTGCCTTGGTAATTTCTTCACGTCTGCTAATGCAATTACCTCCGTGTGCTGCATAAGCTCGGGAATACGACCATTGTCGACACGGCAACACTGATGAAACATGTCACTAACCAAAGCTGCCAACGTCATGTTTCGGTCGTCGGTCTTCTTTGGCTTCTGCTGAGACTGAGAGTTTACCTTACATTACCTAGATTTAGACATAACATGATATGTGCTATAGATAAACGTTATACGAAAAAAGCGCGATTTAAACTGGGTGGTTGTATTAACTCTACGCTTCTACCGCAGGTTTTTCCGCGGCTAACCAAGTGCACTTTCTACCGTTTTGGAGCTGGAGGAAGTTTGGAGAGATTCGACGCTCTCTGCGTCCTCAGTATCAACGTGGTCAACGACAAGATCTACCTGACCGTCTGGTTCTGGTACATCGTTCTCATTGCACTGGGCAGGTGAGGCGACATTGGTGTGCAATGAAAATTGTGCAAGGGATTGTATACTTAATTGAACTTACATAACGGACTATTCGACTGGTGAATTGCAATGGGATGGATGAGTGATAAGCTCGGTTGTCATTCTATGTCGATGTACTGACCTGCTGATACTGATGTATACCTACTGATACACTGATGAATAATGTAGTACAAACTGAAATGAACTGAACCTGTAAAATCGCAAAAGGTACCTATCTGAGCACGTTTCATTGTCATGTCTATTGCTGAGATTTTTATCTTAACAGCCTCTCAATTTGCACTTTGACCGTTCTATTGACCCTTCACCTTTCTTTTGGCCTGTTGTCGGGAGAGACAGCTGTTCCTGGATAGAGTGCAGGTGTTGGGGGGGGGGGGGGGGGAATGAAAGAGGTATGGGCGGGAAGAGGTACGCCGCAGACTACAGGTGAAGGATAAGCCATTGACGAACCATGACTGGCAAAAAGACTCGCATAATGACTGTAGATAAAAAGAGAGAAATAAGATGACGGGAGAATATAGCATGCCAGGTAAAGCAAAAGAAAAAGAAAAAGGACGACAGCTCTAAAAAACAAGAAAAAGGTTCGGAATAAGGAACGCTGCAGGAACATGACATTTCATGTCAGTGACGTAATAGCTAATATTGAGCATATACCTACCTATTCTTCGTATAACTGAAAGGCCTTCATATGACATAATCATGTAGGCTTGACACCTTGTGTTTGCTGATTACTCCATCATGCGAAAATCTGGTCTCTTACCACTTAGCAGATAATCTAACCAATGAATATAACATCTGCATATCCTTGACAGTTCTTAGTCTACCGTCGTCAGGGTACCTACCGTCGTTTTTCGTCAGCCGTCTGTCGTCAAAGCGACCAACAGCTGTTCTGTCTACCTCACCTCAGCACCTAACTCGTTTTTCCGTCGGCAGTTTGCTGTTCGTGTACCGGCTGGCCACCGTATTCTCGCCAAAGCTGCGCCGTCGTCTGCTGCTGGCTAGGGGGAGTCGGTACGGTGCTGACCCGGCCATTGATGACGTCACAAGAAAGTGCGGCTACGGCGACTGGTGAGAACGTTTTTTTATTTTTTTAAGCCGGCATGCTTAAAAGATAAGTGATGGCAGAGCCTGAAATTTGACCAGTCACTATAAAGATAGGATAAACATTATTGTAATTTATAAATCTAACGATTAATTAGTCCCTCCACTGAAACGCTAAATAGTCTCTTAATTTTTGCGGTGAACAATAATATGAGCATGCGCAACATGTCGAACATTTGTGCACGAGTGTGTAGTGCTTCTGGATATGCAAATGTGCCGTTGCTGTATTTAATGGTGATGTTCTAAATTTCACAGCAATATGCTACCAATCACATCTATTGACGAAAATACACGATTCCTTTCTTTATTTCAGCGAACGTCTGACTGTGAGCTTGATTTTTTTTTTTCAGGTATTTGCTGCGCACGTTGAGCCGGAATATGAGTGCACCTGTGTTCTCCAGCGTAGTCAGACAGCTAGCTGTTCAATTGCCGCGAACACGGACAACAATGGTTGAGGTCAAAGTATGACGTCATGCATATAGTGGTGGGAGGACTGCGGATAGTGATGGAAAGACTGCAAATAGTGATGGGTGGACTCGCATATAGTGTTGGGAGGAATTGCAGGCATAGTGATGCGTCAATTTAAATACGGAGAGGGCGGATGTCAGTGATAGTGATTATCAGGAGTCACATAGAGTGATGGGAGAAGCGACGTTCCAATTCTAACGTTCCGTGAACGACATCAGAATACTATCACATTCGCACCTTTGATTGATGTGTGTTATGTCTAATGACGCATCTGCATGCTACAATGGTTTGAAAGGAATATTTAGCCGATTGCAAGGTTGTTGAAATAATAATGCCTAATGGCGAGGTGTTACTGAAGCATATGTGCGTGTTGTGTATCTATGTATTTTTACTGGCAAATGTGAGCACTGATTGGGTGTGTCCATTAGCATTGCTACTATTAGCACCGTTAGAAAACATTTAGCAAAATGTTAAGTATTGTCATGTAGTTTGCACTAAATGACGAAAATTGGACCATATTGTGCCCAACTTTCTTCGTTTTTACAGGGTCCATGAATACTTACGATTTGGTATTTGAAAACTGAAACATTCTACAATCATCAACTATTTTCATTCATCAACTTTAATAAAAAAACAAGTTAGGAAATAGTGAATAGTGAAGAAATCAATGTTTACTGGGTTATCGAATCATAATGCATGTATTTATAACTTAGATGCCGTGCTTGGTTTTAAGAGCACGCAGATACAAAAGTGTTGAGAAGACAGCCAAGTAGGTAGGTAGCCTACTGTTAGATTCGTCACGGCTAACTATGTCATGTTATAACCGCATCGGCAAAGAACTGGTAATTAAGTATCATCCAATATCGACACCTTTTTTCAAACCCCACATCTGCTCTCCCGTGAATTTCCGGGAGGCACGAAAGATCTCCTTTTAAAAGTGTCCAATCGTCCGATCCTGATCAAATATGTGTGTTCGTAGGCTGTTCTGGTATTGCTTTATCTGCCAAGACAGAAAAACTTGAGAAAAATCGAGTGATTGTACCTTTTTTGAAGGTCTCTAACCAACTTGTCTGAACTTCACCGGAGAACAAATGTGGGGTTTAAAAAAACGTGTCGATATCATGTAGGATTCTGGACATCATACGGTCAACCCCGTCTATTTGTATGTGAATACTGGACATGGTTCATGCTTTAGCTGTATTTTTCTGCTTGACATGATGCTATAGTGCCTTCATAGCCATTGTTTATAAAAAAATACGCATTCTTGAAGTGAAAACTCGTGATCTTTACGCTCAACTGCCATCACTGAAATGCCATCGACTTCAGAGTTGTTCTGTGTGCTTCCATACAGCCTAAGGTGCTGCTTTTAGGCAAAGTCAGGCGCCATGTTGGTTCAATTACGAATGTATTGTATCATCTATATTGTGTTGTATATTTACAATGTATATTGTTTGTAGTGATGTATGAATTGGTGATGTTGGAATAGGCCCATATGCATCAATACACGTGTGTCTTTACATCGGCAAATTTGCAATCCCTATGAGATACTGCCTTCACAGGGAACAATGTTTGTGGGGTCGTTTGTCCACCAGCAGAAGGCATTTATTATGTGCTTCTGTAGCACGCTACATCTTGAACATTTAACGTAGTATCTTTTCGGCACGGCTCGGTCCGGCAGTCCCTCTCCCTCGCAGTCCGGCCACACGCCTAGCTCGCTTTCCCACACCCAATTCCCCCCCCCCAGTTCCCCTAATCTATCACTGTCCGCACAGAATGGGCAGCCGTTAAACTCCCATTAAGACGCGCGCTTTTGGAGACAGCTACCGCAGGATGAACGATTCGAACCCCAACAAGTAACAGCTGGATCAGTAACATTGTCAACAGCTCATGGACCCACGCCGAGGACAGATAACGGCTGGGAGCGCTGGATCAGTAAGATATGTCAACAGATCATGGAGCAGTGTCAAGGATGGATGCCGGCTGGAGCACACAGCCTCCTTTGTCGGGTACATCAGCCCAGGGTGAGTGACCCTGGCAAAACAACCGGGTGACCGACCTCACAATGGCCTCATGAGGTAGTTCCAGAGATCTCCGCAGAGGAAGAAGGCGCTGACTTACGGCCACACCCGGGCCAGTGGGCGGAGCAAGAGTGACGTCACAAGGGGCGTTGCCGGCAGACGAAACGGAAGGAAACAAAAGTTTGAATAAAATGAAATTGAAGAATCAAAATTAAAACTCGAAAATCACAAACCTTTCGGGGATTGTTTTATGCCAGCGATTAATAAAATGATAAAGCACTCAACACGAAGACGATTCGACGGCCAAAAATTGCAGGCACAGAGGAGCAAGGTGACTAAACAGGACAGAGGGCGCCATCTTACGGCCCCACCCACCAGAAGAAGGCAGAGGAAGATGACGTCGCAAGGGCGTGGCAGTCACCCCTCCCCCCCCAACTATAAAAGGGTGCGCCACCCAACCAGAGGCAGAATCACAGTCGAGCAGCCGAGAGTCACAGTCCACAGCTGGAGCCGGAGACGCCATCTGGGAGCCGCCGTCAGTCCGGGTCACCCGCGAGAAGCCTCTTCAGTTCGAGTGACCAGAGCCGGAGGACAACCGCCGACGCTTGAGACCACACTGAGAAGCGGAAGCGCAGAGAACTCCAGAATGTGAGTGTTGTTGAAAAGTCTGCTCAATCCCAATCCTTGCCCCCCCCCCCTCTGCCCAGCGTGCCGTGCCCGTGACGACTGCCAAACATTTTCGGTTACCATAAAATGCACTCTCAATTGGAATTGGAAAACTTAAATTACTTTGAACTTATTGGTCCAGACACCCTAGTAGCATGTTAGGATCTGAATTTCGAGGTCATGTCAGAGTCGCCAGCAAACCGTTATTGTCAGTGGGAGTTCACGATTAGGCCAAGAGCGAGATCCGAAAATTTACATAAGTAGCTCAGTGTCACGAACGCTGAAATTGATGACAGGATGCGTGACAACGTTGAAATGTCTTTGTCTTCGGTCAAGATGGTTCGTTCGATTTATTATGGGCGATGGCCAGGTGCGTTTTGAGGTTGGAACGTTTGTGAAATAAAGGGTTTAGATTCGTGCTGTACTCACTAAAAGTTGCATTGCGAAATCATTGGTAATATTGCTGTAATCTAAAATGGAAGCTAAAATGGAAGTCGAAATCAATTATAGAACAGGTAAATACGTTTGAAAGGAATGTAATGTTTTAAGGTGGCGACTGATTCATGCGATCGATCTATGAATATGGCTATGAATTATGATTTGCGACAGATACGAATGCTTGAGCGTACGGCGGAATTTTTCCTGTTACTTAGGTGCATAGTTGCGAGCAGTGGTTTGAGGTTGACGGTTTGACACTTTGCGACTTTAGATGGTCACTTTGCGTCATTGAAATTGCGAAATGTCGAGTAACAGGTAGATGTAGAAATGTTTGTGGTTAGAACTAATATGCGACTAATATAGGTACCGATCGTTGTGCTTTGTAGAATAAATACTAGAAAGGACCAGCTTTGTTGGGAAACGATCAAATGGGACAGGAGTAAAAAAAAAAAAAAAAAACTTACGTGGAATGGAGCTGATGAGATGTCGAACAGGGAGATATCGAAGCGATATTTTACCAGATTCACACTCACTGACACAGCCGTTGAATCTCCCGGCCCGAAGAGACCGCACACACCAGTACTGCACCGCGAGTGATGACGCGCCCATCGCGGCGCGGCCTTGACAACTGTCGACTGTCGACGCGGCGCCGGCCGGCGGCCGTCGTAATCGTCGTTCCCGACACGGGCGTTGAGCCGCCAGAGGGCGCGAGAAGCAGCCACAACAGGGGCAGTGGGTTAGCCGTAATTGGGGCGCGGGCGGTAGGTGAAGGTCACGTATAGGAGTCTGGTTAGTTGCGGAAAGTTGCAACGGGATAAGAACGTAGACAGTTAAATATGATATGCTATATGATATCTAGGACTGCACTTCGTTTGATGCGCATTGTTTACTGCTAATAGGATGATTTAAATTAGATTCCCTATGAAAGGCTAGGGACCCTATGACAATATTCTGGCACTCTATAAAGATAATTTGTTTAGGTAACTAGTAGCCCATCAGAAGCTATCGAACGAGTTTCAAGGAGGCATTTCCGTTTGAGCATTCAGTAATTCACTATGGTACGGTGGATCACAACCAGACGGCAGATCGATGCGTGTTAATTGGTTCTAGATCATATGTCTGATTAAATCAAGAGCGGTTCAAGGTCTGCTAGGATTGTATACGAGAACTGATGATAAGGTTCACGCGTGTAGCAGCAATTAGGACTTGAGATTACGATTAGATTTGGTTAAATTATGCGTTTCTGCTATTCGCGTTCTTGCGAGTTAGCGCCAATAATTACTCCAACAATATTGGCACAGGGCATTGTGAGGCACAGACGGCTTGTTTGCCCGCCTCCTATGGCGTAACGTTTACCAGCATGACTGTATGAGACACAGATGCACTTCTCGAAACCCACGTCCAGACCGGAATAATAAGAGGGACACACCGTCACGTACGCAGGGCATATGCACGTTTTCCGCCAGTGGTACCGGCCACTGTTAATTTTCCCGCTTAGGTAACACTGGGTGAGAAGGCAGTGAGAGGTTTCTACGGCAGGGGGGAAGGGGAAGATTGGCACAGTATGCAGTGGAGAGTAAGTTATGCCAAAGGCAAGAAGCCGAAGGTCAGGGGTGAGTCACCCAAAGGGCGGATAAGGCGAGCCGTAGTGTCCCGGATAAGTCCTCATACTTATTTCGTAAAGGTACTCTAATCGGTACTGGACAGCCTCAGGGGAGGGAAGAATGTACTCCAGGACACGTAAGGCCTTGAATAGTAAATCCCATGGTTAAGGATAGTTCCAGGATATGAACTAGGGTCCCTGGGTCGTGAACGGGAATGTTACACGCGGACCGGAAGAGGGCATAGGTAATCTCTCCCGGTAGAGAGATAAGTCGGATATAAATCGTGTATGTGTGTACCATAAGTCTATCGGTCGTGTAGTGAATCCCATAAATTAGTAGGGTGGATATTTATGCAATTATTCTGGACGGCCCTGCGGTAAGTATCTTTGTCGCCGGTTAGCGGAGCATGCATATGGATTTCGGAAAGAGACATTTATCTCGCCGGGGAGATCGCTATTAGTCAGGCACCTAACGCCATCGGAGGGAATTCGAGGGGCGCTAAATAAATTTGGGGTGAATATATGACGAACGAACGTAGAGAGAGGATGAGAGTGAGAATGGTAAAGGATGAATCTTAGGATAAGGCCGATGGGAGTTTAGCGAAGCTCAGTTAGGACAGTCAAACTAATTAATCTCGAGGGCAACTTAAAACTAGCAACGCTAATACGAATTAAGTGGGCAATTTTCTTAATGGGAAGGCCAGTGATATAGGAATGGGTGACTGGACGAATGATCACATTCAATTTATCAATGTAATTACCACCCATATGTTTGGCAGTGGTCATCGGGACTTCGAATGCCCTGTCCTTCACCTGCCCAACTGTGCCGCAAACCCAGCTGATCGGATACCTCTATCCCTAATCCGAGCAGTGAAGAAGCATCTCGTGCATCATGGTCTATACAATGAACAGAATCATCAAGCCTCTAAATTAAAAAGCATCTTCCATCAGATGTATTTGTATGCAAGGTGGATCTCTAGACATCTCCCTCAGGTGGATCTCAACACCATCTCAAGATCTCTATCAGGTGGATCTATATCTACATCTATCTCAGGATCCCATCACTATCTGGATCTCTCTCTAGATCTATCTCGGGATCTTTTCCAAGACTCTCAAGCTCCCCTGTTCTACCAGTTCAACTATCGAGTTCATTCCAGCAGCAAATAGCTCTGTTCCTCTACAACCAGCTGAACGACAGTGGACCGCGGTGCTGGATCAACCGCAAAGAAGGCGTTTGATTACCCGCAAGGAAGCAGTTATTCTCCTCTCTTTCTTCTTCTTTTCTAAATCCCCTCGCTACACTTCCAGTTCCAAGACCTAAAACAGGCCGTCAAGTGGTTCTGCCACTGCCAACCTCAAGACACAGCCTAGAACTATCGTCGAACAAAAATTGTCGCGCACGCATCTGTGCACTTGACGGATTGATGTGACTAACTTCAGTAATCTTTAATATAGTTGACATGAAAGTGCTCGTCAACTGTGACTCCTCGCTCGTTATGCTGTCATTATTTTACCTGTGGGTAAAAAAAAAATCATGCATAGATACATGTATCATTGACAGCGTAAACGAAATATGACATAACTCTCGCACTCAACATTTACCACAGCAATGAACAACCACATCAATCATATCCAGGCCCAGCACTGCAGCTGTATTGTATTACACACAGTTCCTTCTAAATGATGGGCAGCTTGACACGCCACACTTTTCTGAGTACCAATCAATAGCTTGCATAACGCGCGATTTCTGGTGCGGAGAAATGAGACAAAAAGGGAATAAATTCATTAATATTT